AGGGAGAGGACCATCTGCACAGGCGGGTTTGTGGAGGAATTCCCAGGGTGTTTCCCATCCTTTTTTTAAACATAAACTAATTCTCTGGAAAGACTGGGAAAGCACCAGGCCCCTTGACAGCCCAAGAAGCATGTGAGAGTTTACTTGTGGACCTGCACATGATTGCAATTAGCCCTAGGGCTCTAGTACACTAAAATTAAACTAGGAAAATTGTTTCCATCCTCAGATATCAGCCTGTCTCCTCAGGGGACACCCCTGTCACCAGAGGTAAGATCTTTGACCCTGCTGTGAGTCAGCTCCTGAGTACCTCCAGGTTTCAGCTGGTCATGTTTGGGGCAGCCATTCCCAATTGAACCATACCTGTCACCTATCAAACCTCAGCCAACTTGTGACACAGCATCCATAGCTATAAACACAATGTCCTCCATATCCCTGGTGCCATCTACTCCAAAACCTGCTATCCCTTGTCTTCATATATGGAGAATATGTATTTCCTTGCTTATCGCAGCAGCAGCCTGTCCTGGAAGGTTTGTGCCCATCCTCATTCCCTTCTCCTCCAGGTTAAGTGACCTCTGTTGACTCAATGTTCATCACCAGGCCCCCAATCATCCTCACTGGGCTGGACCCAGGGTTTTATCTCCCCAGCACACCTTGGCTGCAGAAACAAATCTATGTGCAGGACCAGGAGCCCCAGAGGTTGTGCTGGTCCTCGTGGGACATTTGCCCACCTGGATGAGGTTTCTCATCCCAGTGGGCTGCAGAGAATCCCATCCCAACCCATAGGATCCATCACTGGGGCTCTCACACCCCTTGCACAGCATGGAAGGAGAAGCACAGTCCATGGTGATGGGCTGCCAGGGCACATTCACACCAGCCACACGTCCTGTGCTCCTGTGGCCTGCAGTGCAGCACTAACTGTCCAACCAGAAACTACTACCTGAAATCATGAAGAAGAAAGAAGAAGAGACAGAAAGAAACAACACCCCAAATCCTCCATCTTGTCCCATAGCTATTACTATATTCTAAAAACCACAGTTTTAAAACCCTTCACCATGTGAAAGCACACACTTCTATTTTAACTATACACCCATGACTCTAAGTCCATCACTCAAATTTGGAAGGCTTCTCCAAGGGCTCAGGTCAAAAGCAGTGTTCTCCAGGGGGTCAGTGTCAGAAAGCACAGAAAGCTCAAAAATCCCAGGTTTCTGGGATCCAACACGGTGTGGGTGACACTCATGTCAGAGGGGTCCCAGCAGCCTCACAGTGTGTCCCCCATGGGAGCAGGCTCTGGGTGCAGCAGTGAGGCAGCTCCTGGTACTCCCTGCTCCTGACCTGTGACCACGGCCAGCAGGAGGGGAGAGGGTCCCCCAGGCAGGGCAAGAGGGAAATGAGAGCAGCAGGGTGGTGTGAGTGGGGTACAACAGAGGAGCTGAGGGCAGGCACCTGTGATTGTCAGAGTGCCAGGGGCTGGGAGTGCCCCTTGTGCTGCCCAGGCCCAGCTGTGCACAGGAGCTGCAGGAGGAGCAGGACATGGGCAGGGGAGCCACATCAATCCCCCTGTTCTACCACCCCTGCAATTTCTATTCCAGGTTCCCCACAGGTGAGGATCTGGCATTTCCTCATCCTTCTGCCTGTTGTCATCTGGCTGCTCTGCTGCTGCCCTGTGTCCAGCAGGGCAGGTCCCAGGTGGGACAGTGTGGCCTGGCCAAAGCTTGCCCAGCATCAACAGGAGCAGAAGCATCACAGCTGATGTCTCAGTGCAGGTGGGTCCCAGCCCTTCACTGGCCAACACCCCCAGGGGAGTTCAGGGTAAAGCCTGAAGGGTGATTTGCCCTCTCTGAGTCCTCTTCTGTCTTGGTTTTCAGCAGAGCCAGGATGGTGAAGTATAAACTCAATGCTTTGCCTCTGCCTAAAGTGAGGATCTGGACTTTCCTGCATGCTCCTGTCTTTTAATACCTGACATCCCAGCATCTCTCTGATATTTCCTGTCTCATGGGGTCTTCAGATTCCCCTCTCCAGATGGGAATATCTTTGTGTTTTTGGTGGAGAGTAAATTGCAAAGAAAAGCACATGACTGCAGGAATGGTGACACTGGCCCTAAGAGAGCAAGGATTTGGTGTGGCTGGGGAGCAGTGCAGTGAGTACCTCATGTCCCATGACATGCTGTCCTCTCCCAGTGCAGTTGCACAGCAGCCACAGGACAGGGACATAAGTGGGGCCAGTCTGTGCTCCCCAGTTCCCTGGCACACTCCTGTGTCCTGCACAAGGCACACCAGTTTACCCCAATGCACAGCTGGTTGCAGCCTGATCTCTGTAGTACTCACAGTGTCCATAACAACAGCATCCTATAAATCACTGCACTTCCCCAGCAGCCCCAAATTCCTCCCAGTCTTTTAGGCTGAAATTTATATTCTCGGCCTCAGAGTTGCAGGATACAGGGAGATCTTGCTGGAGCCAGCTCAGAAGTGGGTTTTGGCCCTCAGCAGGCTTGGATAGGGTACAGAGAAGTGCAGCAAAGGGAAGAGGGAACTAAGCCGTGGCTTGGGAAGAGGGTGAAGGTTTTTGGTCACTCCAGGGCACGAGGGTGATCCAGCCCCATGTCTCTCTCCAGGCTCTGCTCACCCCTCCTGTCCACAACCAGACTCTGAGGGAACACACTTGCTCCCTCTGATTCCTGGAGAGATGGAGGAAACCCTGCTGAGAGGTTGCAGAGCCACCGGCCCCAACGAGGTCACTGCTGCAATGATGGGAGGGAACTTAATCACAACCTGAAGGAAATACATGGTGGCCTTCACCTGCCTTCTTCAGTATCTTGTGGTTTTCCTCAGTCTTTTCTTAGTAGAGAAATGAGTGAGAGTCTCCACCCTTGCCAAGAGCCCTTCCAACGTGATTAAGCTCAGTGCTCCTAACATCTGTCCTGGCAACATTTCTAGACTTGTTCCAGTAATTCCCAGGGACCAGTTTATCTCCACTGTGTCCCTCACTGCTGCCTTCACTCTTACAGTGACAGAGGGATAGGTGAGGGTCAATGACTGCTTTTCGTGGAAGGTGCAGGGATCTGCCACTGCATTCCCCCAAAGGCCTCACTCCAGTGGAGCCCACAGAAACACTGCAAAGTCATCAGAGCTTCTCCTGTGTGAGGGCACATGGCAGCACAACACATCACTGCAGACAGGCCAGGAAAACCATCAGGGTCTTTGGAAAGTGAAATGCTCCCAGTGACCAGTGGGGTCTGGTAGCACCCCTGCTTCTCGGAAGCAGGAACTTTGTTAAATAAAAGGTTCATGGCAGGGCCGGGATGGAGCAGCCACTGTGAGCATCCACCCTCCTCTCCTGGCCTTGTGCTTGTGCTCCACACACCCCTATGGGAAAGGTTTGGGGTCAGGGTAACAACAGAGAACAACAGGATCATTAAGATTGGACAAGCCCTCTGAGACCATGGAGTCCCATCATTAACCTAACACTGCCAGCCCCACCATTAAACCATGTCCCTAAGCAGGCACAGGGTTTAGTTTCAGGCAGGGCTGCAGCCAGAGGGACATCACAGCCCACATGGCACCCTGTGCCACTGGGCTCAGCCTGGCTGAGGGCAAAGCAGCTCATCCTGCAGCATGAGGACACCAGCCCTGGCTCTCCCCAGACAGCCTGGAGCTTCCCAATGCAACCATTTCCCAGGTGGAAATGCCCTGATCCCTCAAGCCTCTCCTAGCTCTGGGGTCACTGTGAGCGTGTCCTGGGGCAGGAGGGCAGAGCACACCCTGCCCTTCCTGCTGAGCTGCGGGCTCTGCAAGGGAGGCACCGCTCTGGTAATGCTGCACTCATCCTTACCTGGGCCTGACACAAATAGAATTGATCAAAAGCACCTTTAAAAGCTCCCGAGTCCCCAGAGCAGAAGGCTCCTCTTGTTGAAATCGGGTGGGAGAGCTGCGGTTTCTCCTCAGTTCCTTTGATTTGTTGCCTAATGCAGGGGATGGATAAATCTCTAAGCCCTGAGATTTAGGGCAGGATTCATACTTTACATCTTCAGAAGACGTAGTAAACAGCCTTATACTCTCTAATCCCGGGAGCAGGTTCGTACCTGCTCTCTCTGAATAAACTGGACCAGCTACAACAATTTCACGTTGTGGCTGAGTTCAAAACATCCCCTTGGGGATGAAATGTTTATTGCAGAAGATTTTTAAGATGGTTCCTTAGGGAGAAAGGGACTCCCACCTCAACATCCTGCACAGACCCTGGGGACTGTCACAAGGATAGAAAAAGCAGAGTGACTCCATGAGCAGTGAGACCATGGCCCATAGGACGGTGTGAGTGTAGGTGACACAGAAGAGCCAGCTCAGCTGAGTGTGGCTTCCAAAGTTCCCAGAGCAGCTTTATCCCTCAGACTTTCTTCACTGGACAGCAGGGGTGGGTGGCCTGCCTGCAGTGACCTTTATTAAGCAGGGTTAGCAGATCAGGCATGGCCTGATGGCTGCAGGGCTCCCGGTCCAGCTGCCTCCATCGCCCCTGGGGGCAGGCTGGGATCCCTGAGGGCAGACTGTCCAAGGACCCCACCTTCCCCAGGTCACTCCTGGGCCATGAAGAGGTTTGTGGTGAGGACCACTGAGCCGAACAGAGCACAGGACCTTTCCCCAGCACCTGCCAGCACCTTCAAGTTGCTCCAACCCAGCCCCAACATGGCAGCAGAGCAGATGGGGCCAGTTCAGGGTCTGGACTCCACATGTGGGGAACAGCACTTTAGTTTTTGCAAAATGTGAACCTCTGCAGATTCTCCCAGGGCACATTGTCACACTGTGCCCTGGGGGGACCTGCTGACAGTGTGTAGGGTGGGACACAGCTCCCCAGCCACCACAGGGCAGGTTTGCCAGTGTGGGTTTAACACTGACCCCACACCTCCTTGTAGCTTTGCACCCCCCCAGGATGGCTGCAAGTCCCTGCTTATGGCCAGGGGCTGGGGAGAGGCAGGACAGGGATTGCTCTGCAGAGAGGAGCAAGCTACTTACAGAATCTTCAGGCTGTAGAGGCCAGAGAAAGCTTCCCCTGGGATCCTGGAGATGTGGTTTCCAGAGAGGCGTCTGCAGTGGAAAGAAGAGCCAGTCATGTGTCAACATCCTTGTGATGACAGTCCCTGTCTGCAGAGGTTTAACAGCTCGTCCATCCTGCCACTGTCCCCTGGGAGGAGGCTGCAGCACCTGCAAGCTGAGCCACAGTGCTGAGCTTGGGCAGCCTCTGCACATCATGCCCTCCCCAGCCTGAGGAACAGGCAAAGAAAATCACAGCTCCTGCCAGATCTGAATCTAGCATTTTCAGCAACCACAGACAGTTCATGGCTTACAGCCATTTCCTGGATAGACACAGAGGTGCCCAGTGCACAGAAATTACAGCATAGGTAGTGACCAGCCTACAGACCCTGCTCTGTGCCAGGCCTTGGCAGAGAGAGTGGAGCAGGGCAGAGCTATTTCTGCTCATGGGAGGACTGTCCCTAAATCCTGGCTTATGAATGAGGGCCAAGGGATGGGAGAGGAAGACAAAGCAAAGAGCAGCATCCCAATGGAAAATGGGACATATCTGGGACACAGAGCAAAGAGCAGGGGAGAACACTCAGAACTTACTGAAAGAATTTATTGAAGGAAACCTGTGGGATTTGCCATTGTGCAGCATCACCTGATCTTAGAACTCAAATTTTAACAAGGCCCAGAGCAGGCTGGGGAATTAAAAGGTACTTGTGTTTTTCACTGACATTAGAAACTGCATCACTGTAATCATCAGGACTATGGTGGTGGAGCCAGGAGTGAAGTCCAGGACTCCTGAATCCAGGCCTGACCTGGAGAAGAGGTGACTTTTCTCTTTCTCCTATTTCACCCATGAGGACAAACCCAGCACCCATCAGCCAGAAATGATAAAGACAGGTTCAACAACCTGATTAAGACCCTAAATTGCTACTAAATTTGGGCAAGAAACTTGTCTACATGACTTGGAGCGGAATACTGCATATCCAAAACGGAGACAGTGAACATAATCTGTGACCAGGCTCATCTTCACTCTCACACAAAGTCCAAACCAGGCCCAAGAGGTTGGGAACAGGTATTCACTAAACTTTGACAAGGTTTATTCCTTTTCAGGCATTTTGTCCGGGAAGCAGACAGGTGTGGAGGTGAGCAATGCAATCCTGGCTGGAAGCAGTGCACGGGAACCAGGGCTGTGCAAAGGTCACCGAGGGGACCGAGGTGTGGGGACAGCCACGCTCACCTGTGGCAGGGCAGGCTGTGTGCCTGCCCCAGAGCTCTCCCTCTCCGTCTCTCCCCTCGGGAATCTGGAGAAAATTGCTCCCATAATTAGGCCTCTGACAGCATAAACAGCACAGGGTCGTCTCTTTAATGTGTGTGAGCAGGTTGTAACCTGCCTCTTGCAGCACATGATCTGCCTGGCAGCCTGGGCTATTTGTCACTTGGGGGCTGTGATTTGGGGTAATTGCTCCTTTTGATTGCTGATTTCCACATGGGAGGGAGGGGGTGTTGTCCGGGAGGCTGGAGTGTTTGCCTGGAGGGGAGGTGTTCCTGCACGGCATCCTCATCCTGCTCCCTGCATCCGTCCTACCTGTGTCTGTCTGTCTGTCCTCACCTCCCCGGAGCTCCGGGCTGCCCCAGCCTCCCCTGCCAGCAGCCTGCACCTACTCCGGGCTAAATGTGCCTATGGGCTCCTTTCCTGGCAGCTCCGTGCCTCTGTGTTCACTTTCCTGGGTGTGTCTGAGTGTTTGCCAGGTCCCTGAATGGATCTGGGACCTCCAGGATTAGCAGGAGAGGAACGTGAAGCTTCCATGGAGCCCAAGCTGGGGGTGCTGGCCCCAGAAGGGTGGCAAGGAGCCCCAGCTGCAGGTGGGACATGAGCAGAGCCAGGTTGGGGCAGCTCAGCCACAGGGTAACACAGAACACAAAGGAGAAAATAACTCTGTGGTAGATGCCCTGGTCTCACTGGGTCCTGTCTCAGGTGAATTTAGAGGTCTAAAGCATCCCCCAGCCCCACATAAGGCTTCACTGTTGCTGTAAATGTTTCTGTCCCTGACCATGTTGCACCGAGGCTGTGCCTTGTCCCTGGCTCCCCTCTGGCTCTTCTCTCCATACCTTCACCTCATCCCTGCCACCGAGGCAGCCCAGCTCCTCTCCCAAGGTTAGAGGTCCATGCCAAGTCAGGAGCAGGCACAAAGGGAGGCACCAACCACAAGCACTTCTCTGAACTCACCTCCCAAGGCCATTGGCAGTGTCATTGGGGTCCCAGATGGTGTCTGCTCATTTCTGTGCAGGACTGGGAGGTGGGACATGTCTGTGTTTGTGCACACAGGCTGAGTTTTGAATTTCCTAGAGGGGTGAATGGCTGGGACATGCACACAGGGTATGGAGCTGTGGGGTTTGGAGGTTTGCTGGACCTCCCAGGACAGGTGCTGCCTGATGCTGGGAGTGGTAGCCAGGTGTCCCAGGCAGAGGAGCACGGCTGTCCCACCTGTCTGAGAGCAGATCAGCTTTTTGGGGTGTCCTGTCAAGCAGGAATGGTGACCACATGTCATAGAACCACAAAACAGTTTAAGTTGGAAGGGACCTTAAAGCCCATCTCACTCTACCCCCTGCCATGGGCAGGGACACCTTCCACTGTCCCAGGCTGCTCCAAACCCTGTCCAACCTGGCCTTGAACACTTCCAGGGATGGGGCAGCCACAGCTGCTCTGGGCAACCTGGGCCAGGGCCTCACCTCTCTCACAGAGAAGTGAATTCCTTCCCAGTATCCCATCTATCCCTGCCTTCTGGCAGTGGAAACTATTCCTCCTTGCCCTGTCCCTCCAAGCCCTTGTCTAAAGTCCCACCCATCTCTCTTGGAGCCCCTTTAGGCACTGGAAGGGCGTCTAAAGTTTCCCTGGAGCCTTCTCTTCTCCAGGTGAACAACCCCAGCTCTCCCAGCCTGGCTCCAGAGCAGAGGGGCTCCAGTTCTTGGAGCATCTTCCTGACCATCTTTTGCTTTCATGCTGTTAACTCCTGTGCCACTTCAGGTAAGAGACCAAGACATAAAAGTCTTCCTGTGTGTGACCCTTCCTCTGTCCATGGTCACTTGGTAGTCTTGCAAGTGCTTGGTTCTCTCTGTCCCTCTCACTCAAACTCCAGAAATTCCCCTGCTTGGCAGACAGGCACCCATTGAATATATCTGCAGAATTCAGATCCCACAGGAAATGCAGTGAAATGGTTCCTTCCTTTCCATTTAAAATGGAACAATAACATTTGAAGTGATACTGCCAGTGAGACATCCCCTGAGACAGCTTTTAATTTACTCCTTCTGTGGAGGAGACTTGAGCAAATAACCCCAGCAAGAAGGACAGGGAGGCACTGCCTTTGCCCTAAGCACAGGGAAGAGGAGCTGTTCTGGTCCACAGCACATGAGCTCAGCTTTAGGCCTGCTCAAGGTTCTTTTTAGGATAGACTGCATTCAGTGCTATGTCCTGCTGTCCTGAAGTTTACACCTGACATAGGGTTGGGAGAAGGAGAAAGCTTTGGATTTAAAGTGACTGATAGAAGGAGAGAAGGGGTAGGTAAGAAGGGGAGGGTGACAGCTGGATATGGCTGGCTTGCTTCAGAAAGCTCGTGGTGGATTTTAGATTCTGCACCCCCCCCTTCCACCACTCCCATGATTTCTGGGAACATTCCTCCAGGCTTTGATCTGCATTCCCAATACACTCCAAGTTGGAACAAACTCATGGTTTACCACCGTATGGTTGCTGCTGTTCAGTTACCACAGGCTCAGCCCTCCTGTATCTTGGGCTCCTTGGTCATGCTACAACTTCCATGGCACGCCCGAAGGCTGTGCTGGGCAAGATCGCTCATGTCAGGTGCTCAGGCAGCTCAGTGATGCTCTTATCACTCACATTAGGAGGCAGGAACGTTGCCCATTGGCAGGACAGGACAAACATGTGTGTCCATATCCCAGTGAAATTCTCCCCTTGCCAAACTTCTATTGAGCGTGTCGGCCGCCCCTTTGATCTCCTGCTCGGGTTGGTTTCTCAAGCGCTCACACTCTCGAGGCAGTGTGCCCAGACACTCCATGCTCCTGCCTGAACAGTGTCATCACGCCAAGCCTGGGCCTTCCCCTGGGCACACAGGGGACCACAGGCCCCCTGTCATGCCCGAGTTTGTTCTTGTGCTGGTGCAAAGCAGGAATGAAGCCAATTAAGTCAACAAGTGAAAACATGGTGCATTAGAGAAAAGGGCCAGGCCTGGACTCTTCCTTCTCACACAGGAATCTGCAGCTGGTCCTAGTCTGGTATCTCCTGAAGATGCCTCTAATGTGGTCTTTGCTGTCTCACTCCATCCCTGAGGAGAAGACTGTGCCTGTTTCCAGCTCTGCTCGCTGTACCCCCTCGAATGCCTGTTCCAACTCGATAGATTGATCGCATTTGTTCTTTTGTTTATGGTCCTCAAGCCAGTTTTCAACCCACATGAATGTTCATATGCAAGCCAGTTTGGATCATTTGCCAAGTAATATTAGTAAGACACAGCTCCTTAATGAACAGGACGCTGAACACCTTCACTCCATCTCTTTACATTATAAACTGCAAAGGTTTTCAATTTGTTCCTTTCAGATCTTCCAAGCAGCTTTCACTTTTGACTCTATTTTTGGTGCCCCACTTGGGGTACCCCAGAACAAAGTAAGTCATATGAAAAACAGTTTTCATGAAAACTGGGGCCAGCTATCCCAACTAGCAAGGGTCTTTCAGTTGCTGAACATTCTCCCTGGTCTAAACGGAGTAGAAACAGAATGGGAATCTCTAATTTTTCAAAACATTTTGTAAGTTATTTGGGCAGCTTCAATATCTTGGCTTCATTGGTCAATGTTCATGATAGACAACCCCTTAGAAGCCCTTCTCTCCTGTCCTCACCTGCACCTTAGCCAGTGCTAAGGACAGAGCTCACACCATGCACAGGGATGACCTCTGGAAGGCTTCATCAGAGGAATTATCCTTTAACTCTCTCTGTGCTTTTGCTCACTCACTGAATTGATGAGCAGCACCATCCTCTGCCAATGACTGGTGCCAGCCA